TAAAAATGAATGCAAATTAAAAATGAAACACGCACATGTTCATTTCTTAAACTATTGTCAATAATCGAATCTATTTGTTATGAATTTCTAAAGCTGTTACGGACAACGAAGTCCTAATATGTTCACCGAAAAAAACGTAGCTAACATAAGACAGTTACAGATATAGGTAAGTTCGTCGAATGTTACATCTATGCACGATAGTCAGTATTCCAATTAAGCTAATTTTGTGTAATTTGTGACAGATTTTTCTGATTCACGCCCATTCTATACTTGCACCATCTCCACCAATAAAACCCATTTTTTGTAACCAATCGGATTTCTTGACACATAACTCAACTTCGCGTCGCCCAATTTTCCGCCAAAGTCAGAAGCCAGCTTGATAACCACGACGACAAAATAAACAAAATCTTCCTGTAATCTGAACTAAACACGCCAATGCCACGACGCATGCATTTAAACAATCAAGACCGTAGTCAGGAGTCACTCGCCCACTACTTTCTAACTCCTGTTAGTATTCGGCTATCTACAGACGCGTTAACTTGAACGTTATTACCAGCCTCTCACCATACATTTTAAGCTTTTATTTTTGAGTGGGTAGGGTTTCAGCCAAGGCTGGCTGGTCTACCAATCCAACCCACTACACATTTAGAAATATCCACGCCCGACTTAAACTCAACTGCCCCACACGGACCGCGAAGAAAATTCAAGATGGTGGAAAGAGAAGCCGGGTTCTACTCTCATATATTTTACTTTTTGTACAACACATTTACATTTAAGTTTCCAAAACTGTTGACAATCTTCCATTGACGTATCTTTCCCATAAAATAGAATGTCATCTGTAGAGCTCTCAACTCCTTCTATGTTACCGAAAATGTCTCCTATCACTCTCTACACCAATTCTAATGTCAAGAATTATTGAACAATCCGCACCCCTATCAAATGATGCACTCTTGAAAACAGCAATCTGCACTGCTTGATTCTTTTTACCTACAACAGTGTGATGTCGCCGTCATTATCAGTTCAATTTTCATTACCTTCGTTACTTAAACGTGCATTTACATTTATTTTTATATGCTGCTTCCGGGAAACGATTTTCTTGATTTCTTTAGTTCGAAGTAGTATTCTGCAAACATTTCACTATCCCTTTGATTCCGTTGAAAAAATTGGAAGCCTCACATGTTTGGAAGGGGCGAATGTTTCATTCATTCGGTTATGCTTTCAGTGTGACTCCACATTATAAGTTTGTTACGTTCACTTTGAGCAAACGTAACAAAGTTGCCTCTAGATAAGCACACGGTAAGCTCAGGCAAAGTAGAGGTGAGTCGAGGTGAATAATGGGGTTCTCGTGCACTAGCTAAAACAAAGCAACACGGCAATAGCCAAAACAAAGCAACAGACAACAAAAAATAACAGTAATCCGGATAACAATAAAAAACCAGAGAGAGTGAATAGCACGGCACATCCTTATTGCGATAGTAATGTCTAGTGTTTGACACTAATCAGGTAACTCGAATACGAAAACTGTAATGAACACTCAATAAGAATCAATAATTCAATTTACGCTAACAAAACAAAACCAAAATGTTGATCGACAACGAATCGTCCATACAAATTGAATTCAAAAAAACTACTCTACAATGCACAAATAACTAAATTTTGTAACGCAGCACCCGGTTTTCAGCAGATTTAGTGACCACTCTGTGGTATAAAGAGCCGCTGCGCTACGAAAGTATCGTGCCGAAAGTATTTGTGTTGGGTCTAGGAGTTGAAGATCGAAGCTAAAAGTAATTGATTTAATTTCTAGAGTTGCGGTTCAGCCGCCCCTACCGTAATTAACGCTGCAATTAATCCGCCCTCCGGTTGCAACCGTTATCGCCTAGCTATTTAAGTAGGTTTTGTTGCGTACGAAAGCTCTTGTCATTTCGAAGAAGAGGGAAAATTAATATTTTAGAATTTCAGCCATGATAAGAAATTATTGGCAGGTTTTGTTTCCTACGGTAAATTAAAACGATCATTGGAAATGCAAGGCCATGCAGGTTTACGCCGTTTGTAACAGTTTTAAAATAATCATTTCTGTCCATATTTCAATTTCCACCTTTATATTTTCTAAATTTTCTCGAGTCATTTAATGCGACCAATTTCTAGTTACTTTTGCATTTCTGTGTTTGCCTCTCCGATTTAACTTGTCTTCTTGTACATATCTATGAACAGTTTATTTGACCCACATATGTAAGTGGAAATTTTTACGTGTAATTAGTATGCTTGATCTTTAGGACTGGTTAACTATCAAGTACGAATTGCTCTAGAGAAGTAATCACTTGTAAGGTAAAGAGATCGTTACTACGATTAACTTCAACACCTTAAGCTACCGATTATAGTACATCATTTCAATTTTAATTTCTAGTAATTATGCTTATCGTTGCTTAGCGGTACGAGGTGTCACATAACTTCAGGGGTTGTTGGTGGGTTAATTTTTGTGTTAATAGTTCATGGGAAGATTTAATTTTTTTGTATTTTGCATACTCTTTGGTTAATAAACAATAATTTTTTTGTGGGTCAATTGTTGACTCTTTTTATACTAGCTACCTTTCCTAATTTCGGTGGCTGCAGTTAAAATTGTTAGCGGAATTAGGTGGCGCCTGAAAGACTTGAATCGAAGTACCAGTAAGTATTAGTGGCGGAGATTTACTTGAAACCTTTTATAATAATTTGTGGTCAAAGTTTTTAATTCACTTACCTACTACCCTGAGTAAGAACATATCTCTCTACGCTGTTAACTATTTGGCCAACGGAGCTAGCTGGCCGATCAGCGGCGTGTGTTGATTTCAAATGGCACATGGTATTTTATAGTGCCCTGCATTCTAAGCTTGCGCGTTATACTTTTTCAGCCTGATAGCGCCGACATCGCCGGTTAATCCCAACATTCCAATTAACAATAGATGCTAATTGAACTACCAATTAACAAATTAAGAAGGAGGTCAGTAATAACGTATCACGTATTAGCTAATATCGTAGTAGAATGAAGGAAAAATAAATCAGAAGAGAAACTTAGGGGAGAACGATGAGAAAAGACAACACTCTAAACACACTTACGTGTTATCAGTAATCAGTAAATATAAATCTGCTAACCGTATTCAATGGAATAACCACAACACATCATAAACAGAAAAACTCCAAAGGACTTTGGTAATACCCACTACAAAGGGCCCTTTCTCAGGTAGACATAAGTCAAGGAAAAGTAATGATGTAATTTTAAAAAAATTCGCATGCAACCACTATGAAGGCAGAATCTTCTCTGGAGGAACAAACAGCAAGTCATGAGGTCAAAGGTACACTGGGATGACTTCTAGCGGCACTCTGTTTTCGAGATATTCACCATTGGCGATGTCTCGCATAGAAGTTTCAATCGACTTTTATACGTGCCGTCTCCGACACTCCGCTCTGTAGATATGAGGAATTATAATCGATCACGATAAGGGGTCAAGGAGGTGGACTGTGGTTAGTAGAAATGAATTTCTTCCGTTCAGTACCATGAAGTCACAGTCCCCCCGCCCCCCACTACCCCTTTGATAAGGGGTAAGGGAGAAGGGCTGTAGTTGGTAGAAAACTGTTCCTTTCGTTGATGCTTTTAATTAGAATACCATAGAAAATAATTCTACAATTCTAACACCACCACCTCCCTCACCCATCTCAAAAAAGAGTCGCGAAGGAAAGGAAATTACATGTAAATAACATTTGTTTAAAGGCAGTGTTTTGACGGCTTGCCAACATTAAGGTGTCATGATATCATACCAACTATGTCCAATGTCCTCAATTTCCTAGAGATAAAAATGTAACGTAGGTACGTACATGCAGTGCCAGATTTACAGCTAAGCCCACAAGGCCCGGGCCTAGGGGCCCCAGTGTGTAACGGACCTTGATATAAATAAACCAGCAAACGGCTGGGCTTGTCTCATCAAAACAGTCGCCAATATTATCCAATCCTACAGGTTTAAAGCGAAACGAGTGAAACGACGATATTATTTGAGCCTACTGTGATGCGAGCTCATTTATTGTCGATGAATGAAGTTAGAGTTTTCTTTTTTGAATCTATACAAATACTTGTTGGAAAAAGGCTTTTTGGACATTTATCCAAACGTAGGAATTGCGCTCCGAATGCTGTTGTGCACACCCGCGTCAAACTGCTCAGCAGAACGGTCGTTTTCCGCGCTAAAAAGAATAAAGACTTTTTTAAGATCTAATATAGAAAAACATAGATTAAATTAAATTCACTCTCTGTAATGTACATAGAGTCGGAAATAATGCAGTCTATTGACTATGACGACGTCATCCGCTCTTTCGCAGAGAAGAAAGTTCGCCGTATGATTGTATAGATTTTAAGGACCTAGCTATGATGATTATTAGAGTAATTAAATTCTTTTTTAAAATATACATTTTGTACTGTGCCTTTAATTCCCTGAATTTCTAAAATGACTGCGGGATAAGGGCCAGGGGGCCCCCAAATTTCAAGTGCCTAGGGGTCCTGGGTCTTTAAGTCCCGGCACTGGGTACATGTTGATAAAGTAACCACAACCATCGAAAAAAATACGAAAACAACATCGATGACCACATATATGAATCAGAAACACATTTCACATTTCCTGGAACGTAACGACTGCAAAAATATTCACAACAATCAACTACACAGGCTAGAAGTGTATGTAAATCGCGAACTTTGCACGAGACTTACGAAAGAACTCTCGTAATTAAAAAATTCTACTTACCTGGAGTTTCCATATACGCATGCGTCAAATTCGAAACACGCCGCAAATCGCAACAGTTTCCGTTTGAGATTCAGAACTCGAGAAGAATAAAATTAAACAAGCCACATCTACTAGAATAGAAACGCGAATTGTATGACTAAGTCAACGGCCCCTTCATGTGCAAACGGGCGGCGTGTTTAATTTAGAGGACATTTAGATTATTAGAGCAACCGATGATAAATTAACAAATAAACTCACCACGCCGTAGGAAAGCTGTATGCACCACAACAAAACGCAAAACCGTTGCACTTTCGTTGCAACCTGCATTTTACACCCAACGACAAACTTAAAGGGCAGAAATAAAATGGGCGTATGCCGGTCTCCGGCTGTGGCACGCGAAGCACGCCCCAGCCAGACAACTCGCTCGCAATCGCACTCGCACTCCATCCAAACTTAAGGGATGCTGAAGTATTGATTGCATCATTCGAGATGCTTTTCACATCCGAAATTTGCGTATTATTCAATGTATTATTGTAATATACCTACACTTATAATTAAAAAATAAATTGTATTTACCTCGGTATTTACCTATGTGTAAGGGGTGAAAATAACACCCAAACATCTATTTGGGGATTACCTAAACATTTGTAATAATACTGTCTCTCTTTCTCCAATAACATAGGTATAGGATAGGAATCGCGACGACGCGACGCGACGCTTTAAATACGAAAACCCTTTAAAATTATCTTTTGGCAGTGTAATTTTATTAAAAGACAGAGTTGAAACTTGATGTGACTGTTCGGCCAAAATTGTGAAATGAACTGAACGAGAATGGTCCTCTTACACTTTATCTGAATTTGGTTTGCACGTTTAATGGTTCAATTTAGATAAATGTGCTACCACAGTGGCGTGTAATGCGATTATATCTGTTTTTAGCGCATTTTTGCAAAAAATTTTTTTTTGTAAAAAGTAGCTTTTAATCTCACTTTGGCTGGCTGGCTGGCTGACAGTAAATGCGCGCCCGTAGAAAAACGCTTGTAAAAAGACAAGGAGTGTACATGTAACTATCGGGGCCATGTAATTAAGAACGTTAGGGATGGGGCTACAAGATTTGGAGTCGACGACATCTGGACGCCATCCCCGAGCGTATTATACTAACCTGGAGATTTTTCAGTTTTTATCTATCTTCTTCTACAGTTTTTCTCCGATTGTTTTCAAATTGGTGTCGTCGGAAAGATCTTGTCAACGCGCACAACTCCTGCGTGGCGGAATTTTGTTTTTTTTCCTAGGGGCGAAATAAACCACCTTTTGCGCGGCGCGCTTCGAGGGGTAGTCGACTTTGGGCGCCCAAAAGTTTCTTACAGCGCGAATCGCGGTCTCTCTTTCTCGTGTCACTAATAGAAGGTTGAGCTATGTGAAGTACCCAAAAGTTGAATACGATTTTATGCCGGGATTTTAGCGAAATCTACCAAAATGTGAATTACGAATGAACGGGACGTCGAAACTGTGTATCGACAAAGGGAATGTGGTAACCCCCGACGAGATCTTACTGATGGTGGAGTCGAAACTTCAAATCCGAATTGTTACGGGTGATCAGAAGTGGGTGTCGACAAAGGGAATATGGTAACCCCCAAAGGATTTTACTGATGGTGGAGTCAAAACTTCAAACGCGAATTGCAAGTGCACGGTAAGTGAGAAAATGGTACCGACAAAGTGAACGTGGTAGCTTTCGGCAAGATCTTATTGATGGTGGAGTCAATATTGGCTAATAAAACACTGATCTGCCACACAAAAATGCGCTGAAGTCCCTTCGATCTCACACGAGGACTTTGATCATTTTTTATAGATGTTTGAATGTTATTTTATTTATGTACCTAAACCTAAACTGCGGTCCAAGGTTTTTGGGTGACTGATTTCATTCTCCATATTGTGCCTGTTTTACAGTCTAATATGAAGAATGAAATCAGTAGAGTCAACCAAAAACATTTAGATCGAGCTATACCAATCAGTATTTACGGTGTTTTCCTGCATGTGTTTTAGGCAGTTACCTAGTTGAACCCATTTAATTATATGGTTCCGTTCCACTCTTCCCAGAAAATGAAAAATTGTATTTTTAGGAAAAAATGTGACACTAAACCGCCATGTGTTATACGTCGTTGAGTAGACGTAATCTCACAATGTCAAAATTCTAAATGGCGTCCATAAGAAAAAAATTATCAAAGTCCTCGTTTGAGATCGAAGGGACTTCAGCGCATTTTTGTGTGGCAGATCAGTATTCTATTAGCCACTTTCGACTCAACCATCAACAACAGATCTTGTCGAAGGCTACTACATTCACTAACCGCTTCCCACTTTCCTCGTGCACCCGCAATTCGCTTTTAAAGATTTGACTCCACCATCAGTAAGATCGTGTCGGGGGCTACCACATTTCCTTTGACGGTACCCCCTTCCGACGTCCCGTTCACCCGCAATTCGCGATTGAAGATTTGACTCCACCTTCAGTGAGATCGTGTCGCGGGCTACCACATTCCCTTTTACGGTACCCACTTCCGACGTCCCGTTCACCCGCAATTCGCGTTTGAAGATTTGACTCCACCATCAGGAAAATCGTGTCGGGGGCTACCACATTTCCTTTGACGGTACCCCCTTCCGACGTCCCGTTCACCCGCAATTCGCGTTTGAAGATTTGACTCCACCATCAGGAATATCGTGTCGGGGGCTACCACATTCCCTTTGACGGTACCTCCTTCCGACGTCCCGTTCACCAGCAATTCGCGTTTGAAGATTTGACTCCACCATCAGTGAGATCGTGTCGCGGGCTACCACATTCTCTTTTACGGTACCCACTTCCGACGTCCCGTTCACTCGCAATTCACTTCCTATTGGCGACACGAGAAAGAGAGACAGCGATTCGAGATTCACGAAACGTTAAACCGCGTGAGTTCGCAACGGAAGGTAAAAGGCGCCTGACTACTTCTCGAAGACGCGCGCGCGCCTCGCAAAAGGTCGTTAATTTCGCCCCTATGACAAAAAACAAAATTCCGCCACGCAAGAGTTGTGCGCGTTTACAACATCTTTCCGACGACACCAATTTCAAAAGAATCGGACCAAAACTGTAGTAGAAGATAGGAAAAAACTGAAAAACCTTCACGTTAGTATACTACGCTCGAGGATGAAGCCCAGATGTCACCAACCCCACATCATGTAGCCATGTCCCTAAGGTTGACAAATTTCACGGCCCTGTAGATACACGTACACCCGTTGCCTTTCTACAAGAGTTCTTCTACGCGCCCACATTTGCTGCCAGCCAGCCAGCCAAAGTGAGATTAAAAGCTACTTTTTACAAATAAATTTGCAAAAATGCGCTAAAAAGAAAGAACAGAATCGTAACCGAGACCTTTAAAAAATAATTCTATTGTCCATAAAAAATGTCTTAATGTTTTAGTTAGTACGATTAATTTATCATGAAAAAATTAATACTAAACTATTGAATGTCTTTTCAGATTATTATTCTACACGAAAATTCGCAACTTTACCCTCATTTAACCAACTTTCTACCTCTTAAGGTAAGCGAGATGTCAATAGTGGGGTGAGTGGCACTCAAACAGTTGACACCCTGATTATATTTTATCGTTAATAATAATAACTAATGTCATTGAATAATAAATCTGAATATAAGAAACGTTTTTAAGGCCAACATTTCAGAAACAAATTTTCAAAAGCAACATTATAAAAGGGGGGGGGGTGGAGAAAACCGAATAATACCGGTTCTGTGCACTAATAATAACGGTACCGGTATCGGTTCCCGTTATTATCATAATTTTTTGAATAACGGGTCCGGTTCTAAGCGGGGGGCCTATAAATGCAATCGGTTCCACCGCCGTGTTCTTTTCGGTTTCGGTTCCAACACCTCTCTCTTAACAGGCGGACTGTAGATGGCTTAACAACTGGCGCGGTTAGACTTCTGGGAAATTCCGTTTGCCACCAACCGCGTTTTGTATTGTTTAACGCTACCGTATTGCATCCGTTTTGACCCATATTACCTACATATTGCAATACATATTAGGGTATTTGACCCAATTCCCACGTTCATTCAACGCAGCGATCTCCTTATTTTTCTGCGACGAACATCCTTAAACCTCCTTAAACTTTTTCGGCAAGATATAATAAAAATTATCAAAGTCCTCGTTTGAGATCGAAGGGACTTCAGCGCATTTTTGTGTGGCAGATCAGTATTCTATTAGCCACTTTCGATTCAACCATCAATAACAGATCTTGTCGAAGGCTACTACATTCACTAACCGCTTCCCACTTTCCTCGTGCACCCGCAATTCGCTTTTAAAGATTTGACTCCACCATCAGGAAGATCGTGTCGGGGGCTACCACATTCCCTTTGACGGTACCCACTTCCGACGTTCGGTTCACCCGCAATTCGCGTTTGAAGATTTGACTCCACCATCAGGAAGATCGTGTCGGGGGCTACCACATTTCCTTTGACGGTACCCCCTTCCGACGTCCCGTTCACCCGCAATTCGCGATTGAAGATTTGACTCCACCATCAGTGAGATCGTGTCGCGGGCTACCACATTCCCTTTTACGGTACCCACTTCCGACGTCCCGTTCACCCGCAATTCGCGTTTGAAGATTTGACTCCACCATCAGGAAGATCGTGTCGGGGGCTACCACATTCCCTTTGACGGTACCTCCTTCCGACGTCCCGTTCACCAGCAATTCGCGTTTGAAGATTTGACTCCACCATCAGGAAAATCGTGTCGGGGGCTACCACATTTCCTTTGACGGTACCCCCTTCCGACGTCCCGTTCACCCGCAATTCGCGTTTGAAGATTTGACTCCACCATCAGGAAGATCGTGTCGGGGGCTACCACATTCCCTTTGACGGTACCTCCTTCCGACGTCCCGTTCACCAGCAATTCGCGTTTGAAGATTTGACTCCACCATCAGGAAGATCGTGTCGGGGGCTACCACATTCCTTTGACGGTACCCCCTTCCGACGTCCCGTTCACCCGCAATTCGCGTTTGAAGAATTGACTCCACCATCAGGAAGATCGTGTCGGGGGCTACCACATTCCCTTTGACGGTACCTCCTTCCGACGTCCCGTTCACCAGCAATTCGCGTTTGAAGATTTGGCTCCACCATCAGGAAAATCGTGTCGGGGGCTACCACATTTCCTTTGACGGTACCCCCTTCCGACGTCCCGTTCACCCGCAATTCGCGTTTGAAGATTTGACTCCACCATCAGGAAGATCGTGTCGGGGGCTACCACATTCCCTTTGACGGTACCTCCTTCCGACGTTCCGTTCACCAGCAATTCGCGTTTGAAGATTTGACTCCACCATCAGGAAAATCGTGTCGGGGGCTACCACATTTCCTTTGACGGTACCCCCT